AATTTTATTTAAATATTTTAAATTTTAAAAAAAGTAAATCATAAACAAATTTATAGCAATTTTCCAGGCAAATTTGCTTGGAATTGTCTATAGTTTAAGGAATAAATTAATATTTTCAAAAAACTCTTTCTGATAATCATTATATCCAAAACTAGAGCTAAAAAGTACACAGTAGCTAAGCATAACTATACTAAGACAACCTCTTAAACACTTCTAAAAAAAAAAAAACAAGCAAAAAATTTCATATAGAGTTTATTAGAATACTTTGTTTTCAAAGCTTATTGTAGAAACAATATATAAAGAAATATTGAATTCTGTTTCTAAACTTTGAACTAATTTTTCTTCAAAACTTTTCTGGAGATTTAGCTTATACCCTGTATTTAGGATTCGAGGCACAGGTAAAAAATCAGGCATGCCTTTGAGGGCATGCCCTGAGTTGTGGCATGCTCTTCGTGCCTATAGGCATGCCCTTCTTATATAGAAAACTAGTGCTTTATAAATGTTTAATATAAAAAAATTCTGTTGCTAGAATTATAGTAATTTATTATAAATTAGTGTAAAAAATTTTTCTAGTGAAACATAGTATGTAGTTAATTAAAGTATATAGTTAATAAAGTTTAGTTAGTCTGCATTAAAAATATTATGATTTTTTATCATAAGTTACTATAAAAAATTCTTGCTACATATTCTGGTAACTACTGCATATTGATTTTTATTGTTATTACTAAAAAATTCTGTTATAGGACTCTATTATGATTTATTGTTACAGAACTTGCATTCTGGTAACCACAATAAGTAGTTAAGATTGTATAATTTTTATCATAATTACTATAAAAAATTTTTACAGAACTTAAATTTTGTTGTTATTATACTAATTAAAATGTTAAAAAATTTACAACTCTGATGATCTCACAATAACATGCTGGCCAATCAGATACGACATACATATTACATGACTAGGGCATGCCTAATGGCCAAGTAGCATGCTATAGGCATGCTCTCAAGGTATGCCCAAAAGGCATGCCCATGCCCCTGTGCCTTGAACCCTAACTGTATTGCAGATCACTATCAAAACAAACAAACAAACACATGTTAAAAGTAAACAAATAGCCAAAACAGGACAACAAAACCTAAAATGTTATTTAGATAATAAATCAACAACAAAACAACAAACAAAACACGTAATAATCTTAAAAACAAACAAACAAACACATAATATGTTAGAATTAACAGACTACAAAAATTTTTTTATTAAGTCAGAAAGAGAAAAAACAAACATACAAGAAAAGTAAAACATTCTTATATAGAAAAAGGATAAAAAAGTTGTGAAGTACTTAAGTACTAATGAGATTTACTTCATTTCAATTATTCACAAAGTTTTGCATCACTATAATTAGGCACAACACAAGAAAACAAGAGATTAAGAGCTAAAAGAGGAAAAAAAAATCTTACTCGAGCTTCCTATTAATAACAATATGCAAGTAAATAGTATACACCAGATATATAGTATTAGTATCAAACAAGAAAACCAAATATTCTATTCAAAATTATCTATGCTATAATCCTGCATTCTGTTTAAAGAAAACCAAAGTATAGAAATCATAGCCAAACCTATAGTAGAAAATATGAACAATAATATACAGATTGATAAACAATTATTTTTTCAGAAAAGAAATTATATAAAACAAGAAAAAATATTTAATATAGCAGAAGTTAGACCAGAAATCAAAAAAGAAATTTTGGTTAAAGAAGAACTAGGCACTTTAGATTACAGAATTCTTGAATTTCTCGAAAAAGACAAAGAAAGTGCAAACAAGCATCTAATTAGTAAGAGTAATAAAAAAGCCAAAAAGTATAAAAACATCTACAACTTTTGTTAGGTACTAATAGCGAATATTGAGAATCATAATTATATATATAACAATATACATAGTGCTATACAAGCTCCAAAAACCTCTTCCATTCTCCAAAGCAAATTAGAAAAACAGATTTATTTCTTTATTATATGGGACCTCTTAAAAGAAATAAGTAAAGCAGAAATCAAGAAATATTTTAAGTATTTTAAAAAAGCAAGTATACTCAGCTAGCAACCAAATTTTATATCAAAAACAGCATATATGCAGATTTTCGCTAAGAGTGAAAGACAGAAAAATATACTTGGAGACCAGTGGTCAATCACACTAGACCAGGATAAAACATATAGAAAGACTCTAAGAAAATTTGATATTGCTGAGCTAGAAAAAAGAAATAAATATAGAGTTACAATACAAAATATTTTTACACAAGCAGTGGATAGTCTTCTTCTATGCCAGTTAAAAAGATATAAGATGCAAGCAGTGTATATCTTAAAAAACAAGAATGGAAACTGTGCAAGAAGAGCACATATATACTTCAAATCTGTAGAAGATAAGCTAGCAGTACAAAAAACCAACATATATTATTTTAATACAAAGTTAAGATGGAATATATTCTCTGAGGGTCGAGAAAACAAAAGTTTTACCTATGTATAGCATTACTCTAATATGAAAACAACATATAACAATAAAAGAAAAGCAATATTAAACTGAGTAGAACTATACAAAAAGCTAGAACATAGTAATAAAACCAATAAAATAAAAGACTCTAGCAAAATTAGAGAGATTCCAGTTTTGCAGAATACTCTAAAGAAGCACCCTAGATCACTAGATATGATCATACACAAAAAAGCTCCTTTTACTAGTAGAAAATAATACAACATCTAACTAGAATGAAAAAGAGAAGCACAACACATATACAACAGGCCCAAATAGCACAGAGCTTGGTACAAAAAAGAAAGAAAAAAATATTAAAAATGTATCAAATATAGAATTTGAGGTTAAACAAATATTAGCAGACATGCAAGAGCATTTCAGAGCAATCGAGCAACTATTGGCTCACTACTTCTAAAGGGTGCATCAGTTGAATCACAGTATTAAGAAGAGTCAGAGATTCTCATTGATAACTCCTATAATTCTAAGCTTCTAAAGCAATATGAGGAAGCATTCGAGAAAACCAACTTTAAGTCCTTCAAATTAGATTTTCATAATATTAATAGGTTGAAAGTAGATAAAAATAAGTTAATAGCACTTGCTAAACTGAAAAAAAAGGAAAAGATAGACATTATAGATATAGCAGAAATGAATATTAGCAAATTAGAAGGAAAATGGTTCAAGCTAAAACAATATAGTTATATAAGTTTTTGGTCAACAAGTGAGGCAAACAAGTCAAAAAGTTCAGAAATTGGTATCTTAATAAACAAACAATAGGCCAAGCACATAGGCAGAATAAACAGATATAACTCCTATCTTATCAAGATAGAACTCTTTTTTAGAAAAGTAATGATACAAATCTGAGTTGTGTATCTTCCACCTGCAGATAAAAAAATTATTAAAGAAACACAAAAAACAATAGTATATAAAATTTGTAAAAACAAGATAAGCACATATGTTTGTATAGCAAAAGATTTTAATACAATAAGTAATACAAACTTAGATACAAATAATGAAAAAAGAACAAACCAGAGACTAGAAAAAACTTTGCTAAACTGGCTTAAAAACAAAGAACTAATAGACACTTTTCATCACCTAAACTTCTACAAAAAAAGTATACCTGGCACAGAGATGAGCTTGTATCAAGGATAGATTATATTTGGATAAGTGAAGAAATAAGCAATCTACTCACTGAGACCAAACCCAAGACATAAATCTGGTTACTGAAAATGATCACAGTCTGATTTAAACTAAGATCACAACAGGGAGAATTCTTAGCTATAGTAGATACAGAAAGAAAAAAGGAAAAAAACTAACAAAAAGAGTTTTTCTTTACCACAAAGCTATAGAAGAAAACTGGAATTTGTATAGCAAACTTGTAGAACACCTAATAAAAAACAAATCAGATCTAAACCAGAAAGAACTTTCTATTTATAGTGCTAAAAACATTAATATAGAATGTGACATTATTAGTAATGCAATTATAAAAGCATATCCTATATATCAATATTAAAAAAACGGAGATACAAGAAAAATTGTCAACTTCTAAATCAAAGATATAAAGAGAGGTCAAATTTCTATACCAATTACAAAAAAAATACTCCTTATACTCGATTAAAAAGATAGATAGCACAAAGCGAGAAGAAATAGATCTACAAATCAGAAATATAAACAAATACATTAAACCCAAATTTCATACCTTCCAGAATATTAGAGTCAGTTAGATATAAGAGAGCTTAAAAACTTGAGCAAAGTATTAAGAAAGAAGGCAGAAGAAGAAGAACATAAAAGAAAAGAAAAGAAAATATATAAAAAGGTAGAACAAAGGTTTAATATGATGAAAATGATAAAAGAAGAATGCTTTAGAGCCTTTTGAATAGAGCATACAACAAGGTAACATTAGATAAAGTTCTAATAGAAGAAAGCTTCCAATATTGCAACCTCAAACTTGTTAACAATAAGAAAGAAGTAAAACACCAAGTAACTGTACACTTTTAGAAACAATTCCATAAACAAAAACACAAATTTGAAGAGATAAGCCAAGAATAGAAAGAAGAATATGAGCTTATAAAAGATATAAATTCATCTATATACAGTATGAAGAAGTTTTGAACTCTATTAACAAAGAAGAGTGGCTACAAGCTTTACACAAAACACAAAATGGAACAGCTTCGGGGATCTTAGGTATTGGCAATATACTTTTTAAAAAATTATCTGCAAAAGTAATTGAGAAATTAATAATGTTTACAAACAAAGTTATCCAAGAAGAAAAAATTACTAACAAGTAAAAATTAGAACAAGTATACCTAATTCTAAAAGAAAGCTTTAGGAATACAATTTAAGCCAAACTTGTCTAATAGTTCTGCTAGAAACATGTAGAAAAGTGATAACAAGAATTATACAACAAATATTTGACAAAGTGTTAAATACAAACAATATATTAAAAGATGTAAACTTCGCAAGGCTATTAGGAGAAAGTATAGCCACCCCAATATATATTATAAACAATATAATAGAAGAAGCAATAGAGAAAAAGAGAGAACTCTGGATCACTTTTCAAGATATGAAAAAAGCTTTTGATTTAGTTAGCATGATTGCTTTGTGAAAAGCATTAGAAAGACTAAACTTCATACCAAATTTAACGAACTTTATTATAAATTTATATAATAAAAGAAAGCTTAGTTTTATAACAAAATTTGGTAATACAGAAGCAGCAAAGGCAGAAGATAGTATTGACCAGGAGAAGATGCTTTTCTCTTTAGTATAGAGAATCTTTTATAATCTACTCTTGTATATAGTACAGAAAGCTAACCTAGATTATGAAATGCAAAGTAGCAAAGAAAACACTAATAGAGAGGCAAAAGAAAAAAGTATTAAAGTAAGGGTACTTGCATATGCTAATAACACAACTTGAATCACGAGTAATCAGAAAAATATGCAAAAAACAATAGACATCTCAAACAAATTTTACAAACTAAATGATATTAAAATAAATTCAAACAAAATGGAGCTAGTAGTAGTAAAAGCAAATAGAAAAAAGAATGCAAACAATCTTTATATATAAGCAGACAATCTGAGAACAAAAATCCTAACAAAAAATCCAAAAGAAACTACTCGCTTTCTGGGAGTTTGAATATCTATGAAAAATCAAAAAAGATCTGATATGCAAAAAGCAAGAAAAGAAGTAGCTCGAATAATAGCATTATTCAAGTTCAAAAAGATGTCTCTTAGTCAGATCATATATATAAACAATGCAGTACTCATACCAATTCTAAAGTACAGGCTAATGATTTTATACCTAACTAGAGCCCAATGTGATAAAATACATTAACTTATATTATGTCTAACAAAATAGAAATTATCATTGCCTTCTACAACAGTAAATATTATACTAAAGTATTTAAAAATAATAAACTTTAAAAGCCTATAAAACAGATATATAGAACACCACTTTTCAAAACTCATAGTAAGAATGAACATAGAAAGCCTAGTTTAAAAATTAATATTAAGAAGGCTCAAACAAGGACAACTAAGAACAGAAGCAACAAGGTGTATTCTCATGAACTAAGAGGTTCTAAAAAAGTATGAACTAAAAATCAAAAACCTGAATATACAAATTCTTTAGCAAGCAAAAGCATTAGGATTTTTAATAGAAGAAAGCATCTTTACCAGAAGTTGGGACCTCTAGTTTCTATAAATAACAAATGATATCAAAATGGTCAAAGTACTAGAAAGATAGAGTATAGCTTATGAAGAAACTAATACAAGCAAGCTTGGTATTTTTTTAGTATCTCAATTTGTATCAGAAAAGGGCGATCTTTTGTGCATATAGAAATAGATAAAGTAGACTCTAAAGATAGACAAATAAGGCAGAAAAGCAAAGTGGTTCGAGAACTTAGAAAAAGAAATGCTAATAGATATACAAACTAGAGAAATCAAATTAGAATATAGGCTTGCAATAAACAATACAAATATATCTAAATTAACACTTGGAGAACTCAAAAATAACAAGTGAGCAAGAGAATGGGTAGTATAAAAAAGTAAAAAAAAAGAAGAGATTAGCTTCAGAAAAATAAAGAAAAAAGAGAATAAGTATGCAGAAGTAAAAATTTATAGAGAGATTAAAAGCTTATTTCTAAATGCTAAGCAAAACTTCTTCAAACTTGATACAAATACAGAAATACTTTTAGTAAAGCAGAATATATTACGAGATATTTCAAACTTGGTACAAAGAACAGAAACAGGGACAAGAATGATCTTTGACAAAAACATAATAGAAAAAATACTAGAAAAAGAAAAAAGCACCATATAAGTTACTCT